AACAAGAAGCTAGTAGTAACAAGTGCCACGCTAGTAGTAACAGGTGCTTCTTGGGCCCAACCACCTTTCTTATCTTGCCGGAAGAACGCTACTGCCGCACACGCGTGGCCTTCTCACCCCAGTTGGCCGCCTTCTCCATGGACTCGGTCTGCACATCTTCAACACGTAATTGTTCATTTTTCATCTATATATGCATTTGTTATTTCAGACCTTTAGGCCAACCTAAGAGCACTGGCCTCCAACCTGGAAGCCTCTCCTTTCCGTGTTTCCTGCCCTTTCGATCGCCCCGTTCGCCTGCTTGGCCAATCGTGCCAGAAGCATCCGAAGTCGTCCCCTCAGCTTCTACCAGCTTCACACTCCACCGCTCGTTCATCCACTCCGAGGAGGCAACGTATTGAAGTCTGGTGGGATGAAGCCCTGACCTGTGTCCCACCAATGAGAAGGCAGCGAGAAGAACAGGAGCACAGTGATTGGGATAACCAGCGCTGAACAAAACACCCATCTTGCACAATGTACATGCTAACGGGCACAGACCTGTCCATCTTCCAATTTGCAGTTGCATCATTGAAATCAGCTCATCGCGTTGCAAATTTTTCGGGATCCCGAGCCCAGCAGTGTCGTGTCAGGTTCGGGCTGGAGATCAACGAAATGCCGCACCGGCATAAAGCCTTCACCTTCCGTCAGGCCAACCATCAGAATTGTCCAACTGGACTTTTCATTGACGATGCTTCCCTCTGGCTGATGATGGCAATCACCTGCCTGCCGTCGCCATGGCGGATACTATGACTATGATGTATTCTCAGCGACTCTCAGCGCGCTGGGTGCCAGTGAAGCATGTAGTCTAGACTTCCAGTTGCCATCCAAGTCCTTCGTGCAGATCGATGAATTTCTTGACTAACTAGGCTCTGTCTGGGATAGTGGTTTCCACACTCATTTGTGTATGTCTTGGTTGGTTGGTTGGTTGCTTGCTTGCTTGCTTGGTTGGTTGCTTGGTGGGTGGGTGGGTGGGTGGCTGGACGTGTGGGTGGACGTGTGGGTGGATGTGTGGGTGGTTCTGTTTGTTGTGGCACTGTACAGTGACTGCTTGAGTTCCAGGAACTGCGCTTTAATCGCTTTGTCCGAGGAATCTTGTGAACCACACCAGGCTCATAAAGCTGCCGAGATTCCGAGATTGGCGGCGAGACAACCGAGCACATGCTGCATCCACACAATTCCACAGTGTGGCAAACATCTGCTCTCCAGAGGGGCCGACTGCAATTTGATCTCACAGCACAATCTTTGCCCGCGGTTTTCGCGGGAGGTCCTTTCTCAACTGCCATGGGCTTGTTTGCAAAGCCAGCACCAGCAAACTGCCACGTGATTCCATGACGGCTCTGCCGTGCCAGTCACAAGCACCAGCATGTCACTATTTGCATCACAGCTCAGCTTCTTCGCTGGCTGCTTTCAGGCGCTTAGCCTGAAAGACTTAAAGACTAGCCAGTTAGCATAGAAAAGCCAAAAAACACCATTGCACTATACTATACATTGCACCGTGCCGCTCATGAGCATAGTCAACATGATGACGAGCAAATGACCAGGCTTACGAGATGACACAATTCATTTTCTTCTTGGTTTCTTCAATGGTTTGTTCTAGATTCTCATTCTGTGCTTTCAAGTCGCTAGTGTCTGATTCAAAGAAGGCAATTCTGCTTTGCAAATGCTTGGTCTCGTCCTGGAGACTTTGCAATTGACCCTTCAGATTGTTCGTGTTCTCCGTCATTCGGTCAACTCGTTCAGAGGCAGTGGCGCGTTGTCCTTTGGCATGTTGTAAGTGTGTGTCTGCTTCAGCATGCTCACTTTCAAGCTGGCTTTCCGCATGAAACATCTTCGCTTCCGCAGTTGCAAACTCCGTTTGCTCCTCCTGGCATCTTGCATGTGCCACATCTCTGTCGGATGAGAGCTGCTTTGCTTCCTCTTGCGCCAAGCATGCCTGTTGCTCAGACTCTTCTAGAGTTTGTCTCAGTTCTGCATGAGAACTGCAAACTCCCTCTAAGACTTCACCTCTCTCGCGCACCATGTTGTACATCTCACTCAAATAGAACTGCAAAGATGTGCCATGTTCTCCAGCCTTAGCCAGCTCTACCGCCAACGAGTCTCCTTCATGCATTGCATCCACCAGCTCCCGCAAGCGCTTTTCCAGCGAGTGCCGGGTTTCTTCTAAATTGTCCACTTGTCTATGGCTTTGAACATTTGCGGCCTTCGCCTCGCAGGTATTGTGAAACTGAGTCGATGCTTCAGTCTCTTCCATTGCAAGGTAGAGGCGCTGCCTTGAGCTATGAAATTCTGCTCCGGACAACTCATCCTCCAGGCTGTCATTCTCCAGATCAACCTTTTCAAGATCTGCATTCGTCCCCAAGCACTGCAGCTGTATCCCTCCCGATCGTTGCATGCTCTTCTGAACGACAAGCTCATTGCGTTTGGTCTCCTCCAGCACATGACGTCTCTCTTCAGCAGCTCTTGCCAACAAGTTTTCATCAACGACGTTTTCATGGAGATAGCTCTGGAGCTGCTCTGAGAGGCGATCTTGGTCCAAGCGAGTTGCTTCCATTTCTTCTTCAAATCTGCGACTCTTCGCTCTGGAAATAGAGATGGCATCCTTTCGAACAGCTTTGCGACGCTCCACGGAACCCAATGAGCTCCTCAAGTCTTGAATCTCCCGTGTACGTTCATTCAGTTCGGTGTGGCTCTCCTGAGCCTGCACTTCTACTTCTTCAATTTCAGAGCGAAGCTCCTGTACTGTTTGCTCTGATTGTAGCACTTGAGGGTACACCCGTCGCATGAGGCTAAAGATCTTTCCACACCACTGGCTCGGCTAATTTCATGGGAGCGACCCAATGCGCTTGCGCCATGGCAACTCGGTTCTGAGCTTCCGTGGGTTTCTATTTGTATGCGTGGCGTTCTTTTGTGTAGGCTTCTTTTTTCTGTCACCTCGACTGCTATATTGCATCCTGGCAATTATCCGTGATGGATGATTAATTGGATCGCATGCCCCTCATATTGCTGAATTTATTTCCTGACCGTGTTTTCCAGCGCATGAATGATTTCTATCAACCATCTGCGGCCGCTTCGGAGCCAAGGGATTCTGTCATTCCCGTCTGCCACGTCGTCGGGAACTTCTCGTACCGAGAGGCGCACCTTACAACGTGCAACACCTCATTATGTTGCCTCAACAGAGGCCAAATATGAAAAGAGTTATATTCGTAATACCAGCAAGTTACCGGCAACTAACTTTTTCACGCCACACCCTGATTTGCACGCGTTCTTGCCAAGCTTTCCCGGGGTGTCAGCAACACCCCTTGCTCGCCTGTCAATATGTTGTGCGATGATATGATTTTGCATCTTGCGTGTCAAACTGGTGAATGGTTGATGAATGTGCCCTCTTCATGCTTTCATCACTTACATCTCACTCCTAATCGAGTTGTGCGTGGCGATGGTGCTCGCCGCAATGGTGCAAGTATCCTGCAACACCAAGGAGGATCCATTTCGGCAACACCACGCAGGCCTTTTTGTAGAATGACATGGTTCTCCGTATATAAATCTTACCGGTAATCTCACATGTAGTCTGTCCAAGGCTGCCTGTGTGACATGCATAACTCCAGAAATCTCCCACTGCTCGATTCTGGAACTGAAGACTTGGGATGGAACTCATACAGTTTCAATCACTTGGACCGCTTGAGTGCCTCTTTGGCAGCGGCCCTACTGGAGGCAATCCATCATCCAGCCTAGGCTTTTCAATTTACGTCGATGTCAATGTCTCAAACATGGGAACGCCTGTTGACTGAAAGGTGTGTCAACTGGTCAGTATGGGTTCGCAAGCACGCGTTTCCCAGCGTGACAGGTGCATAGCACAGCCACGCAACAAACGTGGAGAGGTCGGACGTGCTGGTGCTGACTGTGAGGAGCCCAGGCCACGTTCTTGCGGGGAGCCACCTGGCTTTTCAATATTTCGTTCATTGAGATTCATGTCATATAACCCATGTTATATTATATATATACATACTATCGTATATCTAACGATTTTACTTCATAGTACTTCATAGTAGCTGTTTGCCCTCGATTTGAGATTCATAAGAAGCCCTTTCAGCCCGGCTGCCCGCCTCCCGTTCGGTGTGGGGTATTTGCCCTTGAGCTTTGCGAGGGCAAAGTGGAAAAGCCGTGCCGTGTTATAGGCCTCAAAGCCACCAGTTGAACCACTTAGACTTAGACATAACTTAACACTTAGCTTCAAGAAATATGATGTAAGTTTATTTCATGCCTCTCATCTATACCGGCTCTCCAATGCCACATTGCTCTCGCAAAAACAGTTTCAGCCACGAGGCAATAGAGTGCGTGGAGAGCGCGCGCGGCCAGGAGCCACCGTGAGTGGCTTGAAAGCATCATCTGACCTAGCAAAAGGTCCCGCGTCATATTAAATTATTGACGATTCGCTCGAAAGAGTATATGGCGAGGAAGAAAGCCGAAAGGCGCTCTACACCCTCCTTCTAAAAATCATAGAAGTGGACAGTCGCCTCCTAACGATGTTCCTATAAGTGGGGTGATCACTTCCATTTTGGGGGGAAGGAAGGAAGTACATATAGTTTGATCTACATTTATCACCATGTCATTCCTGGCGCCATCGGGAAGTGCACCATATCTGGCCTTGTGTGCGTTGTCCCTGAAAGCAAGGGCTCCAAGGCAGCGCTTGGAAACCGCCTGAAGCAACATCGGAAGTCGGCGCTTCCTTGTTCGATTTCCTGCTGCTTCCGTGCTCTCTGCATATTCACGACGCTTGCGTGTTTCAGCCGTTGTGCTGAAGCTGCACCGGGCATCAGGTCACCCACGTCCAGGTTTCAGCTGAGGGAATTTCACAAGTTGCAGCCGGCCGTCTGCTACTATTCCTACTCAGCCTCCTTAAACTTAGAACATATATAATATATAACTTATATAAGCTTGCACTGCTTTGGCCGCTTTACGGGGTACAAGCGGCACAACCCTCAAAAAACTGATAAAGCATCAGTTGTTCGATTGGCTAGGCTCCTCCATCACGACAAACTGAGTCCTGCACCTATTATCGACAGAGATGTAGCCGCCGCGGGGTCTTTCCTTCAGCTCCAAGTGGGTTCAACACAAATGGTGTTGACATTTGTTGACCGCTGCTTCTGCACTTCCAAGCCCAGCTTCTGGTCGGGGAACCGATGGAGGATGGATGTCCTCACCCCAAACAGCCAATCGGCGGGCTTGAAGGGGTCGGGGGTTTGTCGGGTCAGCGAAGTTGAAGGCTGGGGGGCGTCACCTTTGGGGAGGAAAGTGGATGACAATGGATGATAAAATATGATATCGCAAAAAACACCTCTGCCAGCAATCGAAACCGACAACATCCGACAACACTGGCCAAATCATCCAGAAGTCTGCACACGTAGGTTGGGCGGCACAACGCACATGCAAAATGAACAGTGACTTGGAGCAACCTGTGGCAATGCACATGGTACGACGGCTCCGCCTGCCCTTTGGGAGGGGACCGCGGTGGTCGTGGACTGCCCGAGTTGTTGAGCAATTCCTGGACCACCTGATGACCCGAAGCATGAGCTCATGAGATCTCAAAAAATCACAAGAGAGGCTAAAAAGCATCACGCCTGTGCAGCTTGCTGGAGACATTGGCTAATCATCTGTGGGTCATCGAAGGAGCACCCTGACCGTCTTGAACACGAGAGAGAGAGAGAGAGAGAGAGGTGGCGCACAAACTACATGGACTGATCTCAACTTGAGATTTATTCCATCAGCACAAAGCCCAGCCTTCTGGAACCACCAGCTTCTCTGTTGGATGCATCACCAAACATTTCTTAGACACAAAGTGCCATTGGCGCTATGGCTATGGCATTTTAGTTGCGTGGCGTGGTCATCCATCATGCGGTTGACAGTTGCAGCATCCCATCCCCACCTCATCCTTGCATTCAAAGGCTCATTCAAGTATTTTCCTGCTAACGCGCAGATAGTTGAGCTGTCCGGGCGTGCCTTGCAGTGTGTCAACTCCAACCGTTGGTGCAATAAAGCACGGCATGGGATACGTTTTGTTATCGATTCTGCAGGCCAAGTGCATCCTGCTCCACCTGGAGGATCTCAGAGCAAAGCTTTGCCACTCGTTGAGATGCTTCGGCTGGTAAGGGTGGATACTCTGCCCGGTTGATCCTTAGCTACGAAACAACTTAAGGATGCATCCCATGTGCCTGGGTCTGCAAATGTCACCAAAAATAAGCAAACAGTTGTGATGCAAAATATAGCCCTCCTGATCTGCGCTCAAAAGAACGGACGGGAGGCCGTGGCATCGCAACACACCTTTCAGTTCAAGCGACTTGTGCCCCAGCATATAATAGTTCATGCCAGGACCAGCGAAAGGACTTCTTAGCGTGTAAAGCTGGTACAGGACGCAGCCCATACTCCAAATGTCCTGAGATCATATGCACAAACCGATATGATTCTATGATATGTAGAAGACATGTGGAAACTGTGTATAGAGACGGTGAACTAGGTGCCAATACTAACTCTGGAACTGTTTGCTTGTGAGATGCCGATTTAAAGGAATAGCCGCCCGAATCCTTGAGCACAGCACACACTTCAAGCAAACAAATGCTACGACTACTTTCCGATGAATCTCTCAAGCCAACTGTCGGCTGTGCTGGTGCAAGCAAGCTGCAGAAATAACTTCCTCAAATGGCGTCTCACCATGTTAGACTGTGACACCACCATCTACTTGCGCCAAATGCATCCAAAATACCGGAGACATGTAAAACGGGGTTCCGACCACAGAGTGGGCCTTGTAGGTATTTGAGCCAAAGAATCTGCCTCAGGCGTAGGATGCTGAACTGGCCAAAGGTGTGCTTCGATACCCAGGTTGGCCACGCAAACATAGGCCAAAGCTCCAACCTACTAGCGATGGCCTCCAGCCTAATAGCAATCGCCTCCAACCTACTACGTCGTAGCGATATGCCAAGACACCGAGACCCAAGTCTCCAAGCTTTACCACTCCACGGTGACCTGAAAACGAGTCTCCAGTCTTCCAGCAGAAACATGCGCAGCTCACTCGCAGCCATTGAGTTTGGAATCTCCGAAAGGTTTCTTCGAGGCACAAATGAAGGTATTCTCTGGCTTTATGTCCCGGTGCATGATGCGCTGCCTGGATAAAGCAAATGAGCTTTATGTCGCCCGCTGCCCTCAACCCCAGCCCTCAACAGAAACATGGCAACTAGAGGAGGCCCCAGTTTCCCCTTGCAACCTCTCGTACAAACCCCACCTGTGCATGTGGTGCAGCGCCTCACCGATCTGAAAAAAGATCCCCCACACCTGTGCCAGATTCGACTCCTATGGCAGGCCTTGTGGAGAAAAACTTTTTAGTGCAGTGGTGGAAAGCATCTAATGACAGCAAGAAACTGTAACTATCCCGGCAAGAGGCCCCAAACACTGTGTGTGAGGTCAAAAAGCAGAAAGTCTAGAGATCTAGACGCACTGGGGTCCACAGAGGTGATGGTGGTGATCAAGGTGGGGGTCGTGGTGACGGTGGCGGTGGTGGTGAGTGAGTGTGAGTGTGAGTTTGAGTGTGAGTGAGAGTGAGAGTGGGAGTGAGAGTGAGAGTGAGTGTGGGTGAGAGTGAGTGTGGGTGAGAGTGGGTGTGGGTGAGAGTGAGAGTGTGAGGGAGTGTGAGTGTGAGCGAGAGTGGGAGAGTGAGTGTGAGGGAGTGTGAGTGGATGTGAGTGAGAGTGAATGTGGGTGAGAGTGTGAGTGTGAGCGCGAGTGTGCTGCACCTGCACCTCGAGGTTCACCAAGTCGTGCGCCTGCCACGAAATCTGCACGTCGAGGCTCACCAAGTGCTGCCCCTGCCACGAAATCTGCACTTCGAGGTTCACAAAGTGCTGCACCTGCCACGAAATCTGCACTTCGAGGTTCACAAAGTGCTACACCTGCCACGAAAAATCTGCACATCATCGGGGGTCACAGAGTGCTGTGCCTCCCACGAAATCTGCAAACGAGCCACATGTCCAAAAGTCACGGTTCACTGCACCTGTCAGAGCTCCTCGACGATCACCACCATGTCCAAAGTGCTGCACCTGCCACGAAAACTGCACTTCGCAGTAAAACGCCTCCGACCCCTGGCACCTGTCACAAAAAGTCGACTTTGGAGCACCAAAACACGAGGTTTCCCCGGCGCCTGCCACGAAAAGTGATCACCATGAGCGAAAATGCGCACGGCACCACAACGAGAGCGCAGTCGTTAGAAGCACCCGCCGCAGGCACCCAGATTCAGCGAGCCTGCTCAGTCGAAATGCACATTGACGATGTTGAGAGGCATGAATGCACTGTAAATAGCAGCGAATTAGCCGGATACGCCCGCGCGGCACACCTATCTAAGCACAGCTGCTTTTCACTTACTGTAAGAACCCCTAGTATGTCCACACTGTTTGGGGAAAAATAATTGAACTACTATGAACTGCTCTAAAAGACTTTGCATCAGGTCGATGACTCCCAGCCACAATGGCGCCTGGTGTTCTTCTAAGAGTCGATCCATGTGCTTCTGCTTGCCTCGAACCATTTGTTGGTGACCCCTCCAGGGGTTAAAAAAAAGAGGCAGAAGACTTTCTTGCAGCTTGCGATCCATTTGTCCTAGCTGCTCAAAAGACTGGATAGATCACCGTGCGCAGCCAATTCCAGGATGATCACCATCTCATTGTCTTCTGTGAAGGAGTCCTGAGGACAAGGAACAAACTGCAGCACACAGCCGACGGGAAGGGTGTGCTGACAAGCATCAAAGTACTTGATGATAGTAGCGTGAGAGAGTTCTTGCAATATCTTGGCTTCAGCATAGACCTCGCGTCTGGCATGGTCGTTCATCTCGTCAATCCTCAGGACAACCAAGGCCCTTTCAGCGTGCAGTGCAGGCCGAACTTGGCACAGCAAAATGCATTCAATGCAATGGAGCTACTGTATGCGCTTGAGCGCCACTTCACCTCAGTCAGAATCTTTCGTGGCGATAGATGTGGAAGCGATCAACCAAATTAGGATATTTGCATGTGCATGTCAATTCTTCCTTGAGCAACTTGAGCTCTTCCCTCTCGCTCCGAGGCACGGTCGCCCCCAGCCTTCCAAAGCGCTCGATGCACTTCCGAAAACTGTCCACGGCCAATGGCGCCAATGATCTGAAAGTCATGAATCCGAGGCAGCAGCCTTCAAGGAAGTCAAAGTGACAAAGCGACACTAAGGCCAAGTTTCACAGGCCTGAGCGGCCGTGAGCGGTGATATCTATCTCTATATATACATGTAGTAATGAAAGAAAATGTATATACATGTGTGTGTGTGTGTGTATGTTCATTTGGTTATATATATATATATATGTGTGTGTGTGTGTTTCACAGTAGATGTTATGTCTCATCTGCCTCTGTAGCTTGTCCCAGGCCTACATCCTGCCAAATCGAAAATCATCTGCGCCGAGGGCCGCTGTGTGGGGTCCACCGTCAGGATCTGGGACACAATACTCAGGAATTCCTTCGACCACACATCCTGGTGAGACAAGCAGACTCGGGCTTGGGTAAAGCCCAGGGTGGCACAGCCATGCAATAACAAGGGCCACAACAGCACATCAACCAGTGAAGGATTCAGTACAAACGCAGAAAGGGATGAATGATGAAAATGAATGGACTTCCCTGCTACTAAGAGGCTGAAGGTAGCTCTGGATATTCTGCAGAGCAAATGGCATGGCCCAAAGCCACAAAATCCATATCCTCAACATCTTCACACATTTTGCAAACAATAATCTGCCTTGGCGGCACAACATTATGCCAGGCATCTGTGCGATAGAAGGGTGGCAGCCCCGCTGCCAATTCATAAAGCGAGCAACCAAGGCTCCATATGTCAGAGCCTTGACCAGCAATGCAACAATCTAGCATCTTAGAACATTTGCAGATAGAGAGAAAGAGAGGAGAGAAGGGAGAACATGCAATCACAAGAATGCTTGCATTGGCACTTGGTATCGCCGCTGACGTCGGTACTTTCGGCATGCCTAATTAATAGCAGGCCGCGCATGCAAAGAATATACAAATATACGGCTACAGGATTCGCTACAGGATTCGCTACAGGATTCCAGCCCGGCATCTCTTCATAAAGACAAGCAGCCAAAGGAATAACCCTCGCCCCGCACAATCTCTGGAGACATGTAAAGCCTTAGAGTTTGGCGTACAAGCACCGCGAGACAAAGAGCAAGCAACAGCCTTTTCATTGCAAAGCCGGTCCCAATCTCTAAGGTCAAAGCGGTGTGCCAACGCAAGACATGGCGCAGGTCGTCGCATCAGAGAAGGCCTGGCCCCACTGGACTTACTTGAACTTGCACGGACTCTTGGATCTTGCCAATCGAAAGCGGCGTACTTGGGCATCCGATGCCACAAGGCCATACAAGGTCCAGCTTTATGATATGTGACACTGCTCAACGTCCGCAAGCCTTTGAGAGACCAAAATCCCCCAGCTTCGCCTGACAGAGTGATGGTTGGTCCTCACCCCGGCTTTCGATTCTTGTCCATGCTGTGGCTTTGGACTCCAGTTTCTTGTGAGTTATGCTCTCGGTTCTTGACTCCCTCACTCTATCTCTGCCAAGTCCGAGCCTGGCCAGTTTCGCCAATGAAGATGTGCGATGGCTTCACGTCCCTGTGAAGTACCCGTCGCTTGTGGAGATATGCTAGCGCACCTCAGCCAATATGTTGGCTGTGTTACCGCTCCACTCCACTTCAATCGTGTACGCTAGGCTACCGCATCATCTTCAAACTGAACAAATGCAGGGCACTGGATACGTCGTTCAGCCATCGCCAAACCAGGTGCTCTTCGATGAGCTTCTCCTGCCTTGCCACACTTACATGTCAAAAAGGATGGTCCCGCTTGCGATCAAAACAAACAACATATGATAGCAGTTGGCTTCGCTGGTCCATCTGCAACTGAGGATCTGGTTGGCCTGTTCAATTCGATTGGCCAGTGTGCCGCCAGTAGCTAGCTCCATCACAAGGAACAAATCACCGTGAAAGGTGAAGTGGGTGTGGTATTTGATCCTGACACGCACGTCTTTTCCACGATCGCCTCCGTTGCTAATGTCACGCTGTCATAGCCAGGGAATTTGAACAGTTCAGCTCAGTGACAGATTCGGATGGTCCAACATCTGGAGGATCGTGATTTCCGTCTCACACTCCTTCTGCAACCTGTCATCCAAATCATGAGTAACCTTGGATGGATCGAGTGACCCCCTCCCAGTGAGAGCTCGAAAATGGTTTTCTGACCTTGGCTGGGTTTGCCAGGGAGCTCGCTTGACGGCGACCACGGCACCTTGATGGCTCGCTGATCAAAAACCATCAGTTACTGAACCTCAATCAATTATATTTACATTCATTTGTTTACATCTATTTATATACCCAAACCAATCTGCCAAGGAACATGTCTCAAGGTATGTGGCTTCCTTGGTAAATCGTCTGGTGCAAATTAAGGAGGAAGGCTGAAGGCCAGCGGCGAACATCGCTTTCAACAATGTCAGAAAGGTACAGAAGGGCACCCAGACAAACCTGATGTGCCGTCCAAGATGATACTTTAGCGACATCGCAGCCAACAATGCAGGCAAGGTCCACCAAAGACTGCACTAATCAAAAGCGCCCGAAACATAACTTGAGAGAGGAGGGGGGTGAACGAAAGGTAGCAGGGAATCAGGCGTAATCCGGGAGGAGGTGAGAGGCCCCCCCACTTGTTTGAAGAGAAGTGACTGAGCGTGATGAAAGAAAAACGCACCACGGTTGTGTGCTGGAAAAGCGCAGAAAACCGTGTAAATACCGGCGTTTTCTGCCGGGAAGGTGCACAAAATCTTTCCTGGTTGTTGGTCTTTTTTCGGTCTTTTTTCTAACCGAGACGCATCAAAAACCATCGGTTTTTGCGGTGTTTTTTGCCGGACAGCCACAAAAAACGCTGTAAATTCCATGATTTTTGGTAACTGTTGAGGACTGGAAGAGCTGAAAACACTGGTATTTACAGTATTTTCGAACCGTTGACCCCGAGGCGCGCCAGGGTGGAGTTGAAAGGGGGGGGCCCCCCCCGGCCACAAACGAAGATGTCGGGGACCATTTCTCAGTGAGATAGGCTCCAGCTCTGGGTATAATACATTTTTGCTAAAGCAAAAGGAAAACTCAGGTAGCGTAACCGCTACCTTTCGTGATTAGAAGGAACGAAACCGAATAACAAAGAAACATGGGGGCCGAAGGATACTTTCTGGGGCCGTACCAAGTGAATTAAAATCTGCTGCAGCAAGGGGAAGGCAGCATGCTAAAAAACACCAAAAAGAACGGCGCAATCCTGTGCGCTGGGCTGGTGGGTGAATCATAAGAAAACTGCAATTTAACATCCGAAAACTTGGGCCATGGAATGCCAAGGCGTAGTACTTGAGCCGAGTATCGTTAACTCTGGATGCATGGCCCCGGGAAATGCAGCGGCCGATCTTATAGGAGCTCAGGAGGTTCATGGCCGGTTACCGGGGCTCCATGGACCTCCGGTAGACTCCATGGCGTGCGAACTGGGCCGTGATTCACGGCCGACCCCACTCAGCTAAAACAAAAAGAATGAAGGCCAGGCGATCGGAAGTTGAAGAAAAGTTTGGTGTTTGCTTCTAGCTATGTACTAGTAGCGATGCCCGTGTTACTAGTAGATTCATCGATTCATGATGGTTCATGTGGTGATGAAGTCAAGGCGATCTGGTGATCCTCGCTGTCCGCTCCTCTTTTGGTGCAAAACATCCTGCAACAACCTCATGAAACGTGTCGGGTCTAGGCTTTATATAAATATACATACTTCGAGCCACTAAAATCAGTAAAACGTCTTCAAGAACTTTTACAGTTCCGATGTGTTTTAGCCCTGCCTTCTTGATTCTGTACACTGGCTGGAGCCACAAAGTTTAGAGAAGTTGCTTCAACAAACACATGGTCACATGGTCCTTTATCCGTGCTCCTTGGCTTAGGGAATCACCAAATCTAAAGCACAAGTTCCCCGCATCATTTTCTTCTGGCAGCATGCTGCAGCTGCTTCACGGCACTAAATGTCGTGGATGAAGTCGGACCAACGCCTCTTCTCCCTCCACTTCCTCAGTCGGATCATGTCGACTCCCATTCGGACCACTAAACACGTGCCGTCTTGTGATGACAGGAACAAGGGAAATGAGGAAAAAACATGCCAAGGCTCGACTGCATATCGGCCATCGGGCAGGACCTGTCGCAAGCGCGCCCGGCGACCTTCTAAACCGCGGAGGCGCTGGGCACCTCATGGTCCAAACAAGAGCGAGCTAAGGACCACCAAGCATAACAAACGCAAAACCAATGTCAGGTCTCGGTCTTAGTCATTGTATGCCATGTGCACATTCCCTGTATGCCATGCGAATGTGTCTTTAAGAATGCCGACCAAAGAAGACTGAGCCAAGTGGCAGCTCTTCAGTCCACCCAGGCGAAGCACGGAGCCCAGTGGCAGTTGCACCCTGCAAAGGGCCCAATGATCCAGCAGCGTTTTTTGGCGCTTCTTGCCAGTTCTTGCTTCAAGGCTTTGAATAAAGTTTGTGTAGATTTAGATGAGTTGAAGGTGCAAAACCATATGAGGATAGGCAATGAACTTCAATTACAGTATTTGATGGTTCCTTGAGTCTCTTTGGATCGCTTGAATCAATGCACAAAACCGATGTGGAGCCAAGCGCTTGACCAAAATCCCACCTGTGTGGAGCCAAACGCTTGACTTCAACAGCATCTTGCCTGAGATATCTGAGATGAACCATGATCATCCATGATCCAGTTTATCTGGATGATCTCTCGCTTTAGGGCTGCAGCTGAGCCAGCAACAGCCACTCAAGACCTCCATCAGCGGCTATGGAGCTACCCGCGACCCAGGCATGAGAACCTTTCAGCACAGCTATGAAAAGGTTGTCTTTTGGCCAGGCTGTCGGGAATTCCACTACATTCATCACATGTCTTGGCGCACCTCCCAACTGCACTGGAAGTTGTTGAGTGAAGCCTTTTGCATCCAGAAGCTGGCATTCTTCGCCAAGCCTCCAAGTTGCATAATTACATGACACCCCAACACATCGGACACATGCCCTGCCATTTGTGACCCCCCTCTTACTGGGTCTGGTCGTTCGTGCGCGCAGTCGTCGTTTGATGTTTCTTTTTCATCACCCTGTTTGAAGTTTGACAGCGAACATCCTTCACATCGTTTGGGGCCCTCCAAGGAGCACACAACGAGCGTCGTTGCGGGTGCCAAAACATGCATCTTTGGTATGCCGCGCTTCCTTATCCAATACTTCTCGTCGCTGCAGACGAAGCTTTCCTTTGTCATGTTCAATAATCTGTGCAAACTTGGCGCGTCGGACGAATTGACTTGGCTTCAATTTAACAAACAACAGGCAACAAATATTGTTTACCAAAGTTTCGACTGTTGCAGTGTTGGCATCTGACCATGCTAGGCAATCTTCAAATGCTGAGCGTAGAATCACCTGCAACTTGCAACAACAAAAATTAAGAAGGCCTCTTTTCTACTAGGCCAGATCAAGGGTTGAACTACAGCTGGGTATCACCCGCACCCTGTCAACTATATACAAAGATTACAAAGTGTTCCATCCGCAGCAAACAGAATTTCATGCCGGGATTCCCTCCTTCGTGCCCTTGGGAATTTGTATGCAGCCTTCAATTTCCTGGGACAAAAGCATATTGTTTTACCAGCTTTGTGCCCAACTCAGCAGCTGAAGGAATAGATACAACAACAGTGAAGAGCGCTTGTAGGCTTGCATGAATGTGCATTGGACTTGCATTCCACTGCATGCTCTGCCGCTCTTACGCGGGCCAAGGCCAGACCGCCCCATAGCCGGGGGGGGTCGTTTTTATTAGGTGGGTGTATTATTGTTGGACTGACTGGGTGCGGGACCCCCCGGGAACAATCACAAGGGGGGGGTTAATAGTTATTTCCATTATGCAGGGTGTACTTGTTATAGCGACGGACTGAAACGTAGAATGCCTCGAAAATCATCACGTCTCTATCCTCGGGTTTGGAACGCATACGTGGGACCAAACCTGTGGGGCAGACTTAGAATGGGTCAAAGGTGTCACCGGCAAGCGTATATTATTGATTCAAGACCTGCACACATATAGCAGTGGTGATGATGGTAGTAGTCGTCGTCGTCGTGGTAGTAGCAGCAGTGTCATTCTAAGCATCATCACCTGCGCGCACACACACACATATATATATACCTGAGAAGGGAGGGGACGAAAGCAGCCTCTGGGTTAGGGATTGTTTCAGGGAAGCCTGGGCAAAGATTTGGCGTGCAAGATGAGGTGATTGGGCAACATCGGGCAAAGAGTACTTTCATGGGGTGAAGTTGACATCACAGCCACACTGATAGGGAGGTAGAAATAAACAACCCCCAATCCACGTGAACTCCCACCCCCTCTTCAGTCCAGCCGCAACTTACAATCTGTTCTCTTTCCATCGCCTCCTGGGCCCCTCATGATGCTGATGATGCACTCTTCGCCGTCAATTACGTCGCTTGCATCACAACACCTCTAAAACCAACTCATTTTTCACTACCTCCACACCTCCTCTTTTTTTCGCTCTCCCCCACCAGGCTCTGGGTTCACCTCTCCGAAATTGGCCGCCTCGCGACCACCCCCCCACACCCCCTTGAACTGACTTCGTTCCCTCCCGGCTGGCTTTCGTGATATACAACTATGCTTTCCGGACTGGAACTTTGGAAATTTGCATTCTAAGCCTAGGGGCATTTCTCACGTAACATGCTAAAGATGGAAAATTAACAAAGTTTGGAAATCCTCACGATAGCATTCTAAATTCCAGTCCGGCGCTATATAACAATTGGAGGGGGTGTAAATTTGTTTTAAATTGGGTTGGTTCAGTCGTAATAACAATTGGGGGGGGCAATCGTTGTTTCAATTGGGCGCAATTGCAATAACAATTGGGGGGTGTTGTTGTTGTGTCCACTCGGCGGATGTGTATATATACAATGGGCGCAAGTTATAACAACAGAGGTGGTTGTCATTGTATCACTCAGAGAGGGTGAGTTTCGTAACAAAGCACCATGAGGAAGTCTGTGCGAACCCCACAGTGGCCCAAAAGATTGGAGCCCTAGTCAAGGGAGCAGCAACATACACCCCCCTTATTGTTACAACGAAACCACCCACCCAAGTCCATCTTTTCGTTTCTAGCTAAACCCCCCCCCTAAAGAAAAAAACAATACACCCCCCTGATTGTTACAACGACACCCACACACACACACACGCACACACACACACACACACCAATTGTTTCATTTCTTGTTAAGCCCAGGTCCGTCATACCTAGATCCCGGCCCCGTCAGTCATTTCTTGTCAAGCCCGGGTCCGTCATACCTAGATCCCGGCCCCGTCAGTTCATTTCTTGTTAAGACCGGATCCGTCATACCTAGGTCCCGGCCCCGTCGTTCATTTCTTGTTAAGCCCGAATCCGTCATTTCGTTTCTAGCTGAACCCACCCCAAAAAAAAAGGAACTAGACGACGGTCGGCCCGAGAGCGAGAAAGATGATTGTCAAGCAATTCCGAGTAAGGAAATAGTTAAAATCGAGTTGTCCAAGGGCCATGACTTCTTTATACAATCTGTTATTGAATAAGAAGTAGCGAAGAAATTAGATTTAAAGTATTAAGAGAAAAAGATATGCAGAAAGAGAGAAAGAGAGGGCGGATGTGAAGGAGTGACAGTGTGGATGCGCAGGTGTGATATGGATGTGCAGATGTGCGGGTGTGTGGAGGTAGATCTGCGGACGTGAGCATGTGAAGATGTAAATGTACAGAGGTGAAGGTGTGTAGACGTAGATGCGCAGATGAAACGGCAGCGCAACGTTGTGGGTCAGGAGCGCCAACCTTGGTGCATTTCTCGCTGTGCAAGCACAACGCTGAAGAGGCTCGAATCAAACTGAAGAACGTCCATTCCACACTGAAGTCCAGACACAGAATGGCGAGAAAATCCACTGCCATCGAAAAACATAGCGAACTTCTAAGCTTCTGGAACAAGCGCAGCTACGAGGTAAATTTTCATTGAAAAACGTCAATACACATCAAGGCAACAGCGACCCTCAGACAAGGTGCGCACATGTAAAGAAACGATCAAGTTTCGAGCGGATCAACTCAGTATGATGTCATATGTGTATGCAAAGTTCAAGTCCATATTCAAAAAACTTCAGTACCTACATACCGCGAATAAAGCACACGACGTCATATTTATACGCAAGATACCATGAAAGTATGAAACAAAAGCTCGGCGCCAACATACCGTGAAGGCATCCATGATGTGAATGCACATGCGGATGATGTCATATGTTTATGCAAAGTTTAAGTTTGTATGTGAATAAAGCATATGACGTCATATTTATAAGCGAAAAAACATGAAAGTCTGAAACAAAAGCTCCGTGAAAGCCTCCATGATGTGAACGCACATGCGAATGATGCATGCTATGTCATATATGCCTCCCAATTCGAAGGTCAAATGTTCAATAAATACTTCGGTGCCAAGACACTGTAAATGAGGAAAATGATATCATAGTTATATGGAAAATACCATACAAATCTTAAAAAGAGAAGCTTGGTACCAACACACCCTGAAGGCATCCTGAAGAGCAAATACAAGTTGAGATTCAGAAAAGGCTGAGCCTGACCAAGATGATTCAGATCGACGTAGTTGCGCATAATAAGATAATAGCAAAAGTATCTTCCCACACAGACCGAAAAATCAAAGCTCATTTTTTTCAAGTAGCACGCGTCGCAAATCCCACGTCTTCGTTTAACGAGAATTCAGGGGCACGCAAGCGGAGCATTGCTTTGGGTTCGTCATACATAATGTTCGCTCCTCGCTCGGATAACCCCTGCCGCCAGAAGCATTTGCAACACACTCGGCTATTTCGGATTTCCATGAGATTGCGCAGACAATTCTTACAGCACTATAAAGCAACAGCCATGCTCCACAAAAACATACCCTCGCGCCGCGATTCAGCGCACCAACTATGTCTCAAATCCATCTGAGGACGTCGATGTTTCGCAAACGGATATAGACATGTTTCACAAAGACACCCTTTAAACCTACACAAAATTTTACGACAGAAAGTCGCAGCTGCGCTATCAGCGAAGAATTCTAAGTAACTAGAGCAGCAAGCTCATCAGCTGATAAATGCTTGCAAACCCATTGGATACGCTGCCAGGAAAGCCGGCGCACGTACTCAATGGCTGTCCGTTCGTACAAACGGGCCTGCTCTTCAAACTCCCGCATTCTCTTCACCAAAAGAAGGTCTCAAAAACACCACGGGGTGGCAGATCAACTATCCACAGCGCGAGGGTTTAGACAAGAAGGCAAGCAACCCGTGTCTAGCAGAGAGCGGCCACCTGCACGGCTTGATTCCCACCAATAGACAGGCCCCAGGCCGGATCCGATGTCATGGCACGCAGCCACGCGTGACCCTGTGGAGCACTGCCATCTGGCAATTGAATGCTGCGATATTCCAAAACAGCCAACGGTTGAAATCGTAACACCACACACCCACTGCCTGGCAGAATTGCCGGTTCTTTGGGATGCAATTTGATGGAGCGAACAATGACGGGCAACTCTCGACTGAGCATCGGGCAAATGCCCATGAGGTATTGAGTCTTGTTCATGTTGGCAACTTGCAACGCTGCTAAACTCTGCTCCTTTGTCAACTCAGTGGGTCCCTTAGCGCGACCAATGGCTTGTACCAAAAACAACGTTCTGGACGTTTGTTGAGCTTCTCATGGCAACACGGAGATGCTGCAACCGGGCCATTTGTTCCCATGCCAGACCACCCCAGTGAGCGTCTTCGCTCTGATACCGCCGGCCACAGCCAAGCTGCGCAGCTCCACCGCCCCCATCTCTTCCAAACGTCCACGAAGCCATTCCGCTCCCTTGCTCACGGTATTGTTGCGGAGCTCTGCCCATCGAGCTTCGACAGACTTTGAAGACGAGCTCGCCTGAAACAACGCACAGGCTCCAAAAGTAAGAAACAGGCCCCATAACGAATGCCTTACTCAAAAGAACATGTACCATGTAACTTTTTGCGCGCATACATATGTATACCCAAAACACAGCGGCTGGGCCTGCTCCATTGGCGCCAAGGCTTCCATCAACGCAGAGCGCAGTTGCGCAACCGTCAGCCATCTATCTCCCGTCTTTGCTCTGATACCGCCGGCCACAGTCAAGCTGCGCAGCTCCACCGCTCCCATCTCTTCCAAACATCCACGAAGCCATTCCGCTCCCTTGCTCACGGCATTGTTGCGGAGCTCGTCCCATCGAGCTTCAACAGACTTTGAGGACTCAGTCTCCTGAAGCTTTGCAAAATAAAGAAGCAAAAGCAAGAAAGAAAGTTCTTTTTAACCTCTGCTACGTTTCGCGATCATTGTTGCATCGCTCACACCATCACAAACCGTGATCCGCAACATTGATGTAAAACCGAAACACCGTCCTGTGAAGACACATGGTTGGACAGCTTTGTAATCAACTCCTTTGCGGCCGCAGCTTGACACCCCAATGTGCTCTGCCATCCTCTTCAACTCCAACGCTCCAAACTTTGCCAACTTCTCACGCAGACGGGTAGCTCCTCCCTCCGCCGCAAGACGTTGTAATTGAAAAATGTCTTCTGCGCACTGAAACTTTGTGATATCATTCTTTCGACATCCCACTGGCAGAAAAACCTTCAAAGACGCAGCAATGGCGATCAATGACTCTTTGTTGAAAGAAGACAAACGTCTTTCCAACCATGCAACGCCATGAAGTCGCAAACCCTCTTCCAAGCGCGGCAACTGGTCCATTCTCGTGGTAGCGGACAGTCCCTTCAAAAAATGGAACAGTCACCACACTACTATGACACGCGTGACGGGCACGCGACTCGAACCAAAAGCTTGTTCCGCAAGCATGTTCTGCAAGCAAACTCTACCCATTCAAACTTGTAATGCCTTCACTACCTCCACGCACATCCAAGCTCCGTACATTCCAACCACGGATGCCCTCCTTCATCCATCCTCCGCCGATGCAGAACGAACTTGGGCCAGGGGGAGGAGGTCGAAAGCTAGCCGAATCGCACCGGATGTACTGGTTACATAGTCGGCAAAGCATGTAGTGATACATGTTTTGGGAGAAAGGTTGCTACGTACACACTTTGCGCTAAAGAATGTAAATGTGACATCGCCGACTGGGAAGGGTACATTGGAACAACACGGGTGCACTCGTTGGCAGGCACGAAGATGCGTGATCGGCAAATCTGGGGGGTAAATTTACCCCCCGCTTTTGTATGCCTTGAGTCGGAAAGAGGGGTGAGCATTTCTGACATCACACGGACTGTACATACACTAGGGCGACCGTAGTGTAGGAGAAGCACGGGCAAAAGGTATATGGAATAGAGTGTCTTGAGGAAATAGCCGGCTTATGGTTATTGCAATTCTGGGGGGTAAATTTACCCCCCGCTTATGTATGCCTTGTGCCGGAAAGAGGGGTAAGCATTTTTGGCATCACAAGGACTGTGCATACACTAGGGCGTCCGTAGTGTAGGATAAGCACTGGTAAAAGGTATAAGGAGTAGAGTGTCTTGAGGAAATAGCCGGCTTATGGTTATGGCAAATCTGGGGGGTAAATTTACCCCCCGCTTATGCATGCATTAGGCCAGAAATAGGGTAAAGAACTTGTAGCAGTGAAGTACAAGGCCTATGCAGCAAGCAGCAGCCAGCAGCAGCAGCAGCAGCCGCCAGCAGCCAGCAGCCAGCAGCAACCACCAACCAGCAGCCAGCCAGCAGCACCACGCAGCAGCAGCGCAGCACCAAGCAGCACCACCACCAGCAGCAAGCAGCAAGCAGCAAGCAGCAGCAGCAGCGGCGTCGTCAGCAACAGCAGCAGCGGCACCAAGCCGCAACAAGTAGCAAAGCAGCAGCTACAAAAGCGGCGACCAGCGGCAGCAGCAAACAGCAGCGGCAGCAGCAGCACCGTTTACACCAAGCCACCGTTTACACCCAACCAACCACGTTCACACGTTCAACCAACCCCCGCTACACGAGGCAGCTGGGAGTCGAACCGTGGGGGGGGAAGGGGGGGGTTAGCGTGATATATCAAGCTTTAAGGCACACAGCTCATCCCACTACCAATTGCTAAAGCAAAGAAGAACTCAGCTAGCACGCTAGCTTTCATGATCAAGCTTTAAGCCACGCAGCTCATTCCACTTCCAATTGCTAAAGCAAAGAAGAACTCAGCTAGCATGCTAGCTTTCGTGATTACCTACCGCTTTTGTATGCCTTGGGTAGGAAAGAGGGGTGAGCATTTCTGACATCACACGGACTGTACATACACTAGGGCGTCCGTAGTGTAGGATAAACACTGGTAAAAGGTATAAGGAATAGAGTGTCTTGGGGCAATAGCCGGCTTATGGTTATGGCAAATTTGGGAGTAAATTTACCCCCCGCTTTCGTATGCCTTGGGTCGGAAAGAGGGGTAAGCATTTCTTGCGCCACAAGGACTGTACATACATTAGAGCGTCCATAGTGTAGGATAAGCACTGGTAAAAGGTATAAGGAATAGAGTGTCTTCAAGAAAGAGCCGGTAGCAAATTTGGTGGGTATGGGTACAATCAACAATTTTGCCAAACCACACATGTCGAAGACAGTAAATTCAAACACTTTGCTCTCAGGTAATGAAGATTCATCAACTGACGAGGCGCAGCCAAAATGTTATGTGATGCGTCCACAAGAAGAAGACGAGCAAATGACCATGCTTCCGACGAAGCTGACCATGCTTCCGACAAAGCTCGTCAATGAATCCTAAATACAAACACTAAGAGTGTCTAGATGAAATAGCTGGTTTACTGTTATGGTAAATCTGGAGGGTAAATTCCCACCGCTTTTGTATGCCTTGGGTCGGAAAGAGGGGTGGGCATTTCTGACATCACACGGACTGTACATACACTAGGGCGTCCGTAGTGTAGGATAAACACTGGTAAAAGGTATAAGGAATAGAGTGTCTTGGGGCAATAGCCGGTAGCAAATCTGGCGGGTATGGATACAATCAACAATTTTGCCAAACCACACATGTCGAAGACAGTAAATTCAAACACTTTGCTCTCAGGTAATGAAGATTCATCAACTGACGAGGCGCAGCCGAAATGTTATGTGATGCATCCACAAGAAAAAACAAGCAAATGATCATGCTTCCGACGAAGCTGACCATGCTTCCGACAAAGCTCCTCAATGAATCCTAAATACAAACACTAAATCAGTGGATGTTTTGCAAAAACGCATGCAAAATCCCATGAGTGTCATCTTGATTCTCCCATAATTACGTGTGCTTCCGCTACCCAAGATCATCCAAAATTCAAGCGCATGATGTCTTTGACATCCTGGTTTTGAACGCACACCCCAAAATCAAAAATACCAAACAAAACACCAACAATTTCCAACATGTAACAACACCTCCACTAATGCCAAAACGCCTGCAGCTGGGAGTTGAACCGCGGGGGGCGGGGGGAGGGGGGGGGGTCCTTAGCGTGATATATCACGCTAAAGTGGGGGGGCCAGGCACCTCCCCTTAGTGTGATATATCGAGCTTTAAGGAACACAGCTCATTCCACTACCAATTGCTAAAGCAAAGAAGAACTCAGCTAGCATGCTAGCTTTCGTGATTATTTGCACAATCACCATTGTGTCATGAAAAACAGATATGCTCCAAAATCTTTTCAGACCATCAATAACGGCCACGATCTCATTGCTTTATGGAAATGTGTCGCCTTGCAGCACTGACTCCAAGTAAGGCTCCGACCACAACGGCGACGTCATCGCTCGAAGCAGCTCCATGTCCAAACTCTTCAATTGCTTCGCAGAACCCCGTGAACGAACCCCTCGAATTTGCAATCTTTGGATACATGCACAAATCCGAAACAAACAACAACGCTGTCACTACCGCCCAGTCCACAACAAAGTGAGAATATCAGGCTTCCAAAACGAACCTTTAAACTTTACCCGCTTTCTGTGCCACAAAAACTATGAAGATAAGCAGAGGGTCGCTCGTGCCAAATCCAAAACGCAATCTCACCTGCGTTTCGTGCCCTCCACACGCACGATCTCCGCAGAGGGTTGCGCTGGACCAATCCAAAACGCAATCTCACCTGCATTTCGCGCCCTCGACACGCACGATCTCCGCAGAGGGTTGCGCGCGACCAATCCAAAACGCAATCTCACCTGCGTTTCGCGCCCTCGACACGCACGAACTCCGCACAGGGTTGCACGCGACCAATCCAAAACGCAATCTCACCTGCACTTTGCGCCCTCGACACGCACGATCTCCACAGAGGGTTGCGCGGGAAAAATCCAAAACACAATCTCACCTGCATTTCGCGCCCTCGACATGCACGATCTCCGCAGAGGGTTGCGCTGGACCGGGCAAAAAAATAATCTCACCTGCGTTTCGTGCCCTCGACACACACGATCTCCGCAGAGGGTTGCGTTTCGTGGTGCTCCGGCGGCACCGCCCCCGCCTTAAGAGAGAAAGAAAAGAAGAGCGACAGGATACGCAGATGTGAGATGTGCAGATGTGAAGATGTGAAGATGTAGATGCGCAGATGTGAAGATGTGACGATGTAGATGCACAGATGTGAAGATGTGAAGATGTGAAGATGAGCAGAGATGTAGGTGTGCAAATGTGAAGATGAGCAGAGATGTAGATGTGCAGATGCGAAGATGAGCAGAGATGCATATAGATGTGCAAATGTAGATGCGCAGATGTGAAGATGTGAAGATGAGCAGAAATGTAGACGCGCAGATGTGAAGATGAGCAGAGATGTAGATGTGCAAATGTAGATGTGCAGATGTGAAGATGTGAAGATGTAGATGAGACATAGTTCTACAGATGCTTTTTACAAAAGAACCTTCGCAGACGCTCTCGGGAAAACAACAACAACAACAACAACAATACACCCCCCTTGTTGTTGCAACGACACCACGCCACCCCCAATAGAACCAACAACAACAACAACACCACACCCACCCAGAAACAACCTTATTGTTACAACGATACCACCCTGCCCCCAATTGAACCAACAACTAGACACGCCCCCTTTGTTATAACAACGCCACCCCTCGCAATTGAAACCGCAACAACCCCCCCGCTATCGGGCGGGTATGGCCAAGGCACAACCCTGTATGTAAGAACTTGGGAGAAGAAGTCGGCGGCCAAGCATATCACCTCGTCGGTCAAGTCAAAGATCGTACTTACGATCTGTCTTCAGCCCTTCAGCTGTTTGCCATGTTTGCCTCTGAGGAGATCTCATGCTTGAGGTCGGGAATCTCCAGGTATTCCAAATGCTGCGCTCCAAGTTCAAGGAGCCTCTCCTGAAGTTCTTGGAGCGTTCTGGTTCACTTCTGTGTTGTTTTTCACTTACGCACGCGGCGTCGATTGAACGAGCTGGCATAGATGCGCTCTCCACCATCGAAAGGCTGCCCTGTCCTTTGCCATCCGAGTCGTCTCCACTGTGACAGTCCTAGAGTTTCAAGTCGTCTTCACTGTGGATGGAACCTCAAGTTGATTCAGGTTGCCTATTTCTTCCTTATATCAGCTTGTACCACAAGAATGGTATGACCATGTCATGTGCATATTCTGTCCTGTCGCATCCACCTGAAACGAAAAGGATCCGCGTATTGCCAAGCGCATCAGTCACCTCCAGGTCCCATGGCATTCCACCTTGGAAATGGGCCCGGCCAGAAACTGAGGATCTCCGAAACAGTGAATCGAAAAAGGGCCCCTAACCACTGGGATCCTATGCTGCCCGGATCTCGTGAGTGGTCCATTCACCTGTACCTCTCTTGAGTCTTGGGATCCCTATTAAAGGCTGGCAGGGACGAGATTCAACCGAGCTGCCATTGAGAACGACCAAGCCTGCGCAGGGCTTTGGCAATTCCAGTGCCAGAAGTGCGGCCAGCATTGACCCTTGGGAGAAGCCTAGGAAAGCTACCTGAACTGAGCCAATTGACATACAAGTCAATAGATTGAGGACTGTTTGACCCGCAAAATGCAACATCGGCCTGGGCCATCTGCAGGCCAAGCCTGTTACAGTAAGACCTCAGATTCAGGATAAATAATCATAATTATAGATATTTGGACATATATACGTGGATATGTCTACAACTCTCTGGCACTCCGAGGAGGTCTCTGCACGAACGCAAGCAGCTGTTGACGAAGCTCGTATATGCGGCCATCAAGGTGTCCTTCACATACTACACCACTCACACAAACATGTGTGCAATGCTTTGATGGAGACCGCTTTTGCTTAGACTGACTTAGCCTGCTGTCAAAAACGGATACAAACGCAAAATTTTGTTTCCCTCCAAATGATTACTGCGTATCCATTGTACAAGTACGGCTGGCCATCTGGCGACATGTTTTTTCACTTCCAAACTGTGAAATCTGTCCTGTCTTTTCGGTCTCGTACCAGGAGTTGAGACCGTGTGGCCCGGGCGGCGCCGTGGGCAAAAGAAACCTACCCAGGCCACTGCCGAACATGACAATCGACTCAGTGCATCTGGTCGCAGGTCAAAAGCACGATTTATATATAAATCCGCCGGCCTGCCGGCGTGTTTTGTGGATTGTTTTGGTTAGTATTGCTTGTGTTGGTTTCAATCTACGGTTTGTCTCTCCGCGCGGATTTTTCGACAGCCTGACGCCCCCCCCCCTCCCCCTGAAAAGTAGAGCCTACCTGTACAGGGTTCCACTCCAACAGCCGATATAGTGTGTCCACGCTTGACTGCTTCAAGGCTCAAAGAGCAAGAGGATAAGACTCTGCGCATAAAAGACACTAGCGGTCTGCACCTCTACCGTGTACGCCCTAGTCACTCTTTCAGTGGTAGCGGAGCAGTGATCCTGGAAGACCCAGGTGAGCTCCTTTCCTAGGCATAGAATTGCTAGTGGGCAAACGGCCATGGATTGGATTGACGACTGGGAAGAGCCTGATGCGGATGTGGCTTATGAGCCAGCAGCCTATGTGAATAGGCATGTGAGAAGAGAGCCAGCAGCAATAGCAATGACAACACAGGTCACTACAAAGGTGCCCCCATCTTATGATGGAAAGACTTCATGGTTTTCCTATGAGGATGCCATAGACGATTGGTGTGATATCACCGAGCTGGAAGATGAGAAGAGAGGACCAGCATTGAGAAACAGATTAGAAGGAGAAGCAGCTGTATACAAGCGTGTTTTAGACAGAGATGCATTGAAGGCAAATGATCCACCAGGAGCCGGCGTAGAATATTTCAACCGAGTACTACGACCATATTTCGTGAAAGGATCAACCAATGTATTCCTGTATAGATTTATGCAATTCGTGCGCTTCAATCGAGGATCAGCTGACATGATGAAATGGATGACAAGATTCCAGATTTTACTCCAAAGGCTTATGAGCAGTTGGATGGACATGTTAGAACCAGTCACTCAAGCACACCCACAGGTCCTAGCTCAGATGCAGGCAGATGCAGCGTTGACTGGAGTAGCACCAACGGCAGAAAGGATTCAGGAAATCATGCAGACCATCAATGGCAATATGAGGACTTTTCATCAGAACGAATTTCCTCTAGGAGAAAACCTCATTGCCTTACTCATGCTGTCACTTGCAGATTTGTCTCAGGACCAGCGAAACACTTTGACTTCTTTGATGACTCATCGTGGCAGGGTCCTGCAGCAATACACTACAACAGAGTTGAGGACAGTGTTCATCGAGATGTTCTGCGCGACAAAGACTTCAGTAGACAATCCTTTGATGCAGCCGACAGGTGCTGGAGGTAGAAGATCATTTCTCGTCCTAGACGAAGGAGAACTCGATGGTACATTTGGCTATTGGGCCGAAGATGAAGAAGATGGAACAGAAGGATTTTTAGATGCCCTGGACGATGTCTTTTGGGTATATGATGATCAAAACTTCTCGTGGTTCCAAAGGAGATTCCAAGGAAGAAGAGCCAGAAAAGGCAAAGGAAAAGGAAGAAGAAAAGGAAAAGGCAAAGGAAGATCAGGCCGCAGATTCTTCAGACCTCGTGGAAAAGGAAAAGGAAAGAGACGAGGTAAAGGCCATTTTGCTGATGAGCAACAGACAACATATCCAGAAGAGTACTTTGAAGAGAATCCTTATGAGGACACTTGGGAGTCAAACCAAGTAGCATATGATGCCATTCTTGCCGAAGATATGAATGACTATCTTCAAGGAGAATATGATGATGCCAATGACTTTTGGCAACAGCTTGAAGAAGCATGGTTTTCCCACAAAGGAAAAGGAAAAGGCAAGAGAAAAGGTAAGAAAGGAAAAGGAAAAGATAAAGGAGATGGCAAACAAGATGCAAACTATGCAAATCAACAACAGCCACGTTCTTTACCTGCACCTTCAAGATCTTCACAAGCATCAGGAGGTCAACAAGGTTTCTTTGCACATTGTGTGACAGCAGCAGCTGAAGTCCATGACAGTGAGGTGGACTTGCTGTCAGGCATGATGACCTCATGTCAAGATGAAGCTGACTGCGCGGTCAACAATGGTGAGACGATCTTCAATGGCATGAGTGCCCCTGTGAGGTACTCTTTGTCAAAGGAGATGCTCAAAGGGCTCCTGATGGCTTTGCGCTTATGAGCGCTGAGGAAGAAGTGAAGGAGATGCAGGCCATTTCATTTTTGACTGAGAATCGCTTCCCGCCGACTATTGCAATCCTGGACATTGGATGCACTAGAGCTATGGGATCAAGGCGAGCAGTCGACCATTTTTGCAACTATGTCGACAATCACCCAGATTGTGGATTATGGTACTCTTTTGAGTCTACCAAGAGCAAGTTTTACTTTGCCAATTCCCAGAAGGCTACTTGCTCTCAGAAACTGGTGATTTACATGTATGATCGTGCATGGACGATCCACCATACAGAGTTCGACATAGTGGAAGAAGGAGAAGTCCCTTTGCTTATGAGCTTGCCACAGATGAGGAACTTAGGCTTTGAACTCAGGCTGACACCTCAACATGCTTATCTGACATCGGTGCCTCTTGGTATCAAATATTTGGTGTTGAAGGTTGCAGCCAGTACTCATCTTGTCTTGGACTTCCAAGATATTGCATGGTATCTGTCTGACGTGAATTTGCAGACTCGGCGCGAGAAGAGTTTTTACTCTCACTTCACTCACTATGAATATGGTCATATTTCTGTTGATCTCAATAGTGATGAAGATGTAGCTGAACATGCATATCCTGTGGTTGACTACTGGGAAGTAGATGTTCACAAGAGAGAACTGATACGTCACCACAAGGATTATAGAAAGATTCTTTTTCCAGCAACTAAGTCCTGTCCTGTAGACACTGACTTACTGGAAGACTTGCGACTGACAATCATCAAGAAGAAAGAAGGTGGAGAAGAGATCAAGAAGCTAGATGATTGGCGCAAGGCAAAATGGAAGGACCTACAAATTGGCTATGAATGGCGTGGTAGAACAATTTTTAAGTTCAAACCAGATGCCAAAATTCCAGATCTAAAGATCAGGAAGGCTGGCATTGAGCACCGTGGCATTGGTGATCCCGATGCAGTGGTGCGCTCCTCCTCAGAGAAGGTTCCCATTGCAAAGGACAGGGAACCAGGCTTCTCGTCAGAGAAGGAAGGTGCACCATCAAGTGCCGCGGAAAAGCCCGTGCCGCCAAAGTTTCGGTATACTTCCAAGGGTTTTGATCCATTTTGGTAGGGACACAAGTCGAAACCATCTGAGCCTCAGAATGATTTAAAGGGTGATGATCTTGAGGAGTATGCTCCCTCAGAACCACCTGAGAGGCCAGAAGGTGAACTTGTAGAAATTCCTAAAGCATCAAAAGGACCATCAAGTGATAAACATGAACCACTTGAACCAGGTGATGGCGCTCTTGAGCCTAGGCGGATTTCAATCCCATTACCTGGTAGTGAAGTTGTTGCAATGACACCGGCATATAGGAAGATGTTACAGAGACTGGAGGACAAGGTAGAGCTTTATAAGCTTCATGTGAAGCACTACCATATGAGTCCTACTCAGTTTCGTAGACGTGTTTCTATGTTGAAGCTTCCTGACTCTGTTTTAGAGAAGTATGAATCAGTTGTCAGGAACTGCCGTGTTTGTAACACTTCAGTGGCACCTCCGCCACGAGCCAGAGTCTCCGGTATTAGAGCTTCATGTTTTGGTGATGTTGTTTTTGCTGATCATTGTGAGGTTGAACTTCACAAGAACAAGTATATCATCTTACTTGTTCTTGATGGTGCCACAAATCTTCTCTGGGCTACGGCACAGAAAGACCTCATAGATCAAACCACCATCCAAGCATTGAGGCAATGGTCTGATGAGAACAACTGTGTTCCGAAGGCCATCGTAGGAGACGAAGCCTTTCTCACAGATGCTTTTGTTGAATACTACAGGTTCCATGGTATACAACAATGTCCTTGTGGGCCAAGAACTCCTTGGCCGAACCGAGCAGAGACAGCTGTACGTTTGTTCAAACGTATGTGGCATGTTATGAAGGTAGATCTGGATGACCCACGGTTTCGTGGTGTTACGGTCAGAGAAGTGGTCAAGAAAGTAGTGTGGGCAAGAAATTGTCAGTTGACTATCAGTGGATATTCACCAATAGAGATAGCAACTGGAAGACGTCCACCAGATCTTTTTGACCTTGAGACCGCAAGCCCTGAGCAATTGTCAGCTAATGCCGCCGCACAAGATCGTACAAATTTGGAACTACAACGTGTGGCTTTGAGAGCTCATCAAGAAGCACGACAAGCTCAGGACCTTCGAGCAGATCTTGCAAGAAGGACTATGCCAAGTGACGGTCCTTATTTCCAAGGAGAGAAGGTTTTTGTTTGGACTCAGGATTCATCAAAGTTCAAGGATAAAGGACGTTGGGTTCGTGCCACAGTACTTGGACAAGAAGGAGCTATGGTCCAAGCCAATACTGGTAAGGCAGTGATACGTGTGAATCAGTCAAAGGTTAGACGCGATCACGATGAGTGGCATGATGTTTCCATACCGGCATTAGACGATGAGAATCCGGAGAACTTACGTGAAGATCACGAACTGTATGTTGATGCCGAATTTGGAGAACAGTCCTTTTTCTTCTGTAATGATGATCATCCTGATGTTGTTGAGTTACTTCATGGAAACAGTGGATTATCTTGGTTCCTTTCAAAGAATGGTGTTAAAGTTGCATCTCCTATGGATTTCAAGGCAGGATACAACTTTTCCACTATGAAGGGTCAAGATGGTATTTGGCAGCAACTGGAGAGATTGCAGCCCCACTGTATAGTGATCAACAACCCTTCTCCCAAACAGAACAGAGCTTCTATTTGGTTGCTATGTTGTAATGTGATTGAGTGGCAGTTGAGAAGGAAGAAACATGTGTTTGTGACTGTTCCCAAAGGAAACAAGTTTTGTTTGTTTTTGCAGAAGTTCATTTCTTCGTTGAAGGATCCGATTTTTAACTTTGATGTGAATATGAATTGTTTTTGTTAT